CACTGCAATGTGTTGAACTTGACTTCCGGCCTGTTTAATGATTCAGAATAACAGCCCTGGTGTTTATGTCTCCAATTTATTTATCTAAAAAGTGAGACATTTTCACACAAAACTGAATTAAACATGAAACATAACTCTTTATTTTAACTACACACTACTCAAATGTAGCTCTGAGGTCCGTATTAATGGTTGACTAATGCATACTGTTTCACGTGATGTGAACACTGTGTTCTGCACAGTGTTCAGGGAGCAGTATGGTGGTGCTCCACAGTAAATGAGTATCAGTGTGGGTTTGGGGTCTCATCGTGTCGGGGCCCGTGTGCGGCGTCTCTCGGGGTGGAGCTGCGGTAATGAAGACGATCGCGGCGCGGCGTCTCTCTGGAAAGCTGTGATGGATTGATCTGCTGCTCGCCTCATCCGAGTCTATCAATCAGCTCTGCTTTGCCTGTGTTTTCAATAGGAATTTGCCACGCTTGAGTGCGCTGCGCCACCGGCAGCCCCCGGGACCTGCAGCTCGCTGCATTAAAGATAATTTTCTTTCTCCTCCGCCCTCTAACGTAATTTGTCATCAAATCACAAATATTGCTCACGGAGCAGAGCACAATGCTAAATCAAGTGCGTTACGGGTTCTTCATCTCTGTGCTGACGGCACATATGACTGAGTGTAATCCGTTTACTAGATATATGGAATGGTTGAGGAGATCTTTTGTGTATTTTGATGTGCTTTTGATAAAGAATGGCTTTTATTTAGCATCAGTTGTTATAAAAATGGATGAGTTGAATAGTCAGGCCAGAAAAGGGGTTGAGTTGAATGAATGTCACAAAACCTGTCCAGTGGCCAGTTTCATAAGTCTTTATGTTAACACTGTGTCTTAATAAATAGCAGTTAGCCGAGGGGTAACAAGCCTTATTTTTCAGACTCAAATTAGACCAATCTATGTTTTTATGTTATTTCATTTCATTTCATTTTTTTATTTCATTTTTTTGTAAATGACCTAAAAAAGTTATGATCCGTCTTTAAGGGAAAAAAATAAAATAGATGTAACTTGTAAGACTAATCGAAGCATTTTATGCAGCCAGTCACAGATCATATTTCACCCCAAAATCCCCAAAAAATAAATAAAACTAAATACATAAAAATAAATAAAAAATAAGGAACTATATACAGTATTAGAAATATTTTACATATGAAATTAACTTTACAAATTTATAGGATAAAGGATTTTTTGCTGTTGTTTGATTCCACTTCTCTGAGAATGACAAAAAAAAATTAAATAATAATAATAATAATAATAATAATACAGACAGAAAGAAAGAATTTAAGCCATACATGATTAAACACAAAGAGCACATGAAACAAACACACAGCACACAATGTGCTTCAATGGAAGAGTGAGGACTGCCTTCATGTGGGACCAGACCTGGCTGAAGTTACACATTGAGACAGAGATGTGGAGATGGTGCTGAGATAGAAGAGCTGATAGCTTGTGACAGTCAGCTCTCCTGCTATCATTCTCGCTCGATCACTCGCCGTCTTCGTCTGAGATTAAACCCCGACCGGCTCTGAAAGTGACAGATGCGAGCGAGCGTCTCCGGCCCGTGGCAGAATCTCCAGAGGAGGCCGTATGCCACACTGTTACTAATAAGAGGAGCAGGAAATGGGGCACACCTCGGATCTGTAATCACAGCACTGCGTCTCTTTTGACGTCCTCTGCCGGTGACCTCATTAGCTGGCCCGTATCGGGATTAAGCCGGGGTCAAAGGTTAAGCTGGACGGGCTCTCTGAGGGGCATGAAGCTTGATTAGAAAGCTGAGCAGAGGGAAATGAGGAAAGACGAACAGCTCCCTGGACGTCTGACGTGATTGGAACTGATAAAGAAGATTGATGTAGTGCAGAGAGAATCGAGAGCGGATCATGTGCTCGGGGTCCGGCTCTTCCTACAGGCGATAGAGACGCTCAGACGGGGCCCGATGCGCCGAGATGCTCCGTAATACATGTTCTCAATTTATCTAATCTACACCTAAAGCCAGTGGCACATCGTGACAGTCCCATATTACTCAACAAATACAACTTTAAAGCTATAGATTTACCACAATGATGCACAAAGAAATCTTCATTTAACAACAGAAATTGTTATTAATTTTATAATAAATATATAAGAATATAAATATAAGGAAAAAATGTTACTGAAAATTATTTTAAATATACACATTTTTATGTTTTTATTTTTATTTTTACATTATTTGTAAATCTTTCTATGTATAGGCCTACATACATTAAAAAAAAAAAGCATTTTATTGTAATTTTTTTAATTAGTCTGTTAATTTATAAAACAGATTAATAAGTATATTTTGCACATAATTATGCTTGTTTACATTGAATATGTAAATTTTTAAGTGTATTTTGTTATTTTTTCCCATATTACTGTACCTGATTTTCAATGCCTTTTCACTTTTTTTTATTTTTATTAATCTGTTAATTTATGAAACAGATTAATAAATAGATTTTGCACATAGTTCTGCTTATTTACATTTAATATTTTGCACTAAATAAACATTTACACACACAGTTATGTACAGGGTCCAGGATGAACACTTGCTGACTGCCAACTGCAAGTCAAATTGGCTTTGGATTCAGTCATCAGTTGGTGTGTGACATTATAAAGAAGTAAATCTCAGCACATGGTTTGAATGGAATTAAAAGAAGGATGATCTGACACCTGCTGATGTAAGAGACTTAAAGATGTTCAAGAAAACCTCTGACATCGCACGTCGACCTCAGGACCTCAAATGCATTGTTAATTATATTAATAATACAAGTGTTTCTGTGAATCGAATGGCCCTTTTCACACTGTGGGTCACACAAACCGAGCGTCCAGCTCTTATTGATAGTCTGTGCAGTAGAAGATTTCCTTCATTATTTGTGCTGGCAGAGATGCTTTTCATGTGCATCCAAACACTGCATTTACCTGCAGAAGGCCGAAGCGTTTCAGCGTATTTTTATATTTTATTTGTTAGTTCTCTCAAACCCATTGCAGTTACTCCCACACTATTAGACCTGTTTTTGTGCACACGCTGGTTTGTGCCAGTGTTTTGTGCAGCATTGCTTGATAGCGGCTTGTAATGTGCAGCATTGCTCAAAGTTGCATCACATTATCACACTGGCACACGATGCCCATGGCTCGCTTTACATCTCATTCGCAGCCCAGTTTCTTCAAATCCTCTCGCAGTATTTCTAGGGAGGTCATGGGAAAGGCTGTGGCCTGTGGGTGTTGGTTTTTCATTTCTTTTTCACAGTTCTTAAGCTCCTAACTGAAATGCTCATTAAATGTGCAGTGGCGGGGATTTTGCATCAGAGTTTTGGGAGTCGACACGCTGCGTATGTTTTTTTTATTGCCTCATTCCTTCCCATTGGAAATACTTCATTGTTTGTCAACGTCGTGCATCTACATATAATATGCTTTTTGTGTGCTCCGAGGGGCCGATTGCCTCCCCGCACTTTCCTGAAGCAATAAAGAGCTTGTGTTTGTGTGCGTTTTCAACATTAAAAGGGGTGAAGCCTGAGCAGTCTCGTTTAAGTTCGAGTGAATTAAATGAAAGCCTCTGAATATTTTTCAATAAGGATGTGAAGTGAATTTATTAACTTCAAATGAAATGCAGCTAAAGCTCTGGAGTCGTGGGGCTCATCGTGGGAATAACGGACGGGGAGTTTTGCTGTTTGAGACTCGTGCACAGTCACTTTTGTTTCGTTTCTGCTAAAATAAAGCCATCAGTTTAGCTTCGTGCGACATCGTCTGAACCCGAATGAATTGAGATTGAATTGGTTCAGCGTTCTTGTAGCTCAAACAGTAAAGTATGGCACTAGAAACATTAAGGTCATGGGTTTTTGCATGAACTGAAACAATGTGTAACTTGAATGCAAAGTTGCTTTGGATAAAATTGTCTGTCAAATGCATAAATGTAAATGCACAATATATTGGAACCATGTTAGTTATATTTTATTTGGCATATATTAGTATTTAGATAATCTAGCACTTACTTTAAAGGGACAGTGATATATTATGGCAAATATTTAACCTTTTAAAATCACTTTATGTTGAAGAGCGCTGTCCTTTTAAGAGCACATGTTGGTACGTGCTGCTGTGTGCATGTAATTATTAGTATTGTGCATAGTCAGTACTTTAACGACTTTATCATGACGCGAGCATGTGGCAGCGCCGCCACACGCTCGCGTCATGATAAAGTCGTTAAAGTACTGACCATTTTTACAGACCATTAACCCATATAAGAGAACCATATAAGAGGGACTTCAAGTAAATATTTTAGGTTGAAGGGTTCCGGCCGACAAAATGTTTTGGAATCTCTGCTTTATATTATAATACCTAAAATTTGCTTTAGTTTTTAGTGTTCTAATGTGTTGGCTAATACTAATACAAAATGTAATGTTCATATGGAAACTCATTTCCGCCACTGAATAAAAATTAAAAAAGGTAATTGCGACTTTTTTCTCACAATTCAGATTTTTCTTGCAATTGCGAGTTTACGTCTCACATTTCTGATATTTTTTCTTAGAATTGCACGTTTATATCATGCAATTCAGACTTTGTAACTCACAATTATGAGTTTCCATCACTCAATTCTGAGAAAAAAAGTTTCTCAGAATTGTGAGATAAAAAGTTGCAATTACCTTTATTTTTTATTCAGTGGCAGAAATGGACTTCCATATGTTCAGCTGGTAATTTGCTCTTGATTATGCAGATCTGTCAACTTCTGTCTGTCCTGATTTTCATGTTAATCATTTAGCATATTGTTGCACTTCACAAGATAAAGTCTAATTGTAAGGATATTCTTGTTTACTTTTGTTTGATAAACAACTAGTACTTTGTTGGGACGTTCAATGTAAAATCTGAAACTAAACCAGTTGAAAACTGCTGTACAGTATATTTCTTAAAATGTAAAGATGTGTGTCTTCTCAGTAAGTTGATGTATTGTGTTTGCAGGCGGTCTCAGAGGCGCTTCTATCGTGGATTCTCTGGACACGCTGTACATCATGGGTCTGATGGAGGAGTATGAAGAAGCGAAGGAATGGATCCAAAACAACCTGGACCTGAACTCGGTGAGCAAACATGGTTGGGTTGTTTCTCTGTGGATTAGCAGCTCTGAATTTAATGCTGTCTGAAGCACTTGTGGAAAAGCCTTCTATTGATCCGGAGCTGCGCTGGAATCAGTTGTTTCTTTTAACCAACGTCCAGTCCTGGGAATTGAGACAGTTTTGATCCAGATCAAACATTCGTGAGTGGATGAAAGGCCTCCGTTGTGGCTTTGTGTTGACTTACTGTGACTTGTGTTGAGTAATGTAAAGAGAGCGCTCACTCACTGATGGACAGTTCTGAGGGCAAACTAAGAACTTGCAATTTAAAGATAAACTGCATAGTTAGATTACAACTGGAGCCTTTGCAAAAGTTACCATAGTGATGCGAGGATGTTGTCTGTAGTTGCTAGGATGTAGCTAAGTGGTTGCTTAGAATATCTGAATGGTTACTAGGTTACTAGGATTTTTTGGGTAGTTTCTAGGCTGTTGCTTAGGTGTTCTGAATGGTTGCTTGGGCGTTGCTAGGATACTAGGATGTTGTGGATAGTTGCTATGCTATCGCTTATGTGTTCTTAATGGTTGCTAGGATACTAGGATGTTGTGGATAGTTGCTATGCTATCGCTTATGTGTTCTTAATGGTTGCTAGGATACAAGTATGCTGTGGGTAGTTGCTAGGCTGTTGCTTGGGTGTTCTGAATGGTTACTAGGGCGTTGCTAGGATACAAGGATGTTGTGGGTAGTTGTTAGGCTATTGTTAGGGGGTTGCTTAGGTGTTGTGAATGGTTGCTAGGTCATTTCTAGGATATTAGAATGTTGTGGGTAGTTGAATAGGCCTTTGAGAAATGGTTGCTTAGATATAATGAATGGTTGCTAGAGTGTTGTAGTGTTACTGGTATGCCACTAGGCTGTTGCTTGAGTGGTGTTCTGAGTGGTTGCTAGGGTGTTGTAAGGATACAAGGATGTTACGGGTAGTTGTTAAGTCATTGCTGAGTGGTTGCTTAGGTGTTCTGAATGGTTGTTAGAATGCTAGGATGTCGTGGATAGTTGTTAGGTTGTTGACAAGGTTTGCTTAAGTGTTCTTAATGGTTGCTAGGGTATTGCTAGGATACAAGGATGTTGTGGGCAGTTGCTAGGCTGCTGCTAATTGGTTGCTAGAATTTGAGGATGTTGTGGGTAGTTGCTAGGCAATTACTAGGTGGTTGCTTAAAGGTTCTGAATGGTTGCTAGGGTGTTGCTAGGATAATAGGATTTTGTGGTAGTTGCTAGGCTGTTGCTAAGTGGTTGCTTAGAGGTTCTGCATGGTTGCTATGGTATTGCTAGGATAATATGATGTTGTGGTAGTTGCTAGGCTGTTGCTAAGTGGATGCTTAGGTGTTCTGAATGGTTGCTAGATTACTAAGATGTTGTGGGTGGTTGCTAGTCTGCTGCTAAGTGGTTGCTTAGTTCTTCTGAATGGTTGCTAGGGTGTTGCTATGTTGTTGCTGGAGTGTTGTGGGGGGTTACTAAATTTAATTTTAAAGCCTAAAATTCATAGCAATCAATTCATAATATTTGTAAATGAAATGATGGAATGGGTCAAATAAATCTGGAGTGGCTGTGTGTCAAAAATAGAAATAAGGCGTTCACATTGACATTGGGCGCTTGTTGTGTACAGAAGCTGATCTAGTTCAGCTGGATTGTAGCACTTGCACTTTTGATAACCAGAAGTTTGAATTTCCTAACTCTTGATATTGAGATTTTCGACAGTGTAAAATGGCTTGTTAAATCTGTCATTGGCGTGTTTGAGCTGCTGTCATTGCTCAAGCAGAACACTCTTATTGCATTCTGAAGCAAGGCGGCAAACTGCTCGGATCTTTCCTGAAGCTTTTTTGGCAGTTCATTAAAGGTGCCAGTGGTGTTTTCAAAGTTGTGTCGGTGGTACATGTGAATGATGCCTTCTGATTGGTCTTTCTGAGTGTCGATGAAAGTACGTGTTCTTCTACCACAGCCCCTAAAGAAAGACATAAAACATAGCTATTCATTCATTTAATTTCATGTCCTTTCCTATAGTTGACCCCAATGTCTTCAGATTGTAGCTGAACGTGAAGCAGTTTATAATATCTTAGTTCTGTTGAACTAATAAAACGTAATCTATTTAATTTCTATGAATTGCAATTCAGTAAATTCCTCTTCCTGTTCTGAATTTTGCACACACACACACACAGAGAGAGAGTGAGAGTTGTGCAGTAATTAGATCTATATGGCAGGAGTGTGATGAATGTCCTGCAGGATCAGCAACAATGTCTCTCTCTCGTTCTCTCTATCGTATGATGAGCTCAGATTCCCGTGGCGTAGCGGTGAAGCGTCTGAGGTGTTTGATGGCGAGTTTGTCATGAAGACACACAGTGTAGATTTACTCTGCACACTTTGTCATAGAGAAAGCAGCTTTCAATCAATCTCCTGCCGCAGTCTTCTCTCTTTAGCTGACGATTTGCTCACTGATGGAGAGCAGAGCACTTCAGTGCGCGACCGTCATGCTCTATGAAACCATGCCAGAGAGTCTCTAATCGCAGCAGAAGATGGCAGCCGATGCGTCTGTATCAGTGAGTTAGAGACTTATAGTCAACAAATCAAAAGTTTAGAGTTCGAGCGATATATCAGCCGGGCCAATCACTCGATGAGCACTGGGCCAAAACCATTACCATTTGACCAACTGAACAGGTGCTAGCGCCTCCTAGTGTCAGTTCACAGTTTAATGAGACACGCTGGTAGATGATAAACTAGTTCTGCTTTCAGGTTTTTTTGTGAATTCTGACAGAATATTGTGCACATTTATTAATTAGATTTTTTTTGTTCATTTATCTATCTTTACAAAGGAAAATATTTGAATTAATTACTTATGATTTTATTCAAATATTATTTAATGTGTTTGGTAAATGTTGGCAATATTGTACTTATTTATTTATTTATTATTTATGTGTCTATCTATGGAGAAAAAAATGAACGAATCTAAATATGATTCAGGTATTATTTATTCTGTTTGTGTGAGTATTGTGTGAAATTTATTTGTTTGTTTATTTGTTCATTCATTTATTTATTATAGAGGAAAATATTTGAACTAATTACTTCAGATTTTATTCAAATATGATTTAGTGTGTTTGGTAAATTTTGACAATATTGTGTGAATTAATTTATTTGTCTATCTATCTTTATAGAGAAAAAGATTAAACTAATTACTTCAAATGTGATTCAGATATGATTTAGTATGTTGAGTGAATTTTAACAGAATATTGCGTGAATTTATTTATTTGTTAGTTTGATTATGAATTTATTAATTACAGAGGAAACTGTTTTAACAAATTACTTAAGATATTATTAAAATATTATTTAATAATATTTAGTATATACAGTTTGTTTAGTGTTTAGTACCTAAAAAGTAAAACTAATTACTTCAGATATTATATAAATATACAAATAATATTTTCAAAATATTGTATTATTCATTCAGCTATTATTTTGTTTATTCATATCTGAGCAGAGAATATTTCTCATGTACATTTCAAGTATATTTTGTGAATTTAGACATAATATAGTGTAAATTAATTCATTGCTCGTTTGTTGAAAATTTTCAAACTTTCCAAACTTTGTCTGAAACACAATTTACAGACTGCTTATTTGTTGAACTGATGTTAATGATGTTGAAAAATGCTAAAAACTTCATTTTGAAAAGAGTGAGATTTGTTTTCGTACTTCACCTTTCGCTCAGGCAGGAGAATCCCAGAATCACGAGAAAGCAGAAATCCACACCTCAGCACTTCTTCTGTTTCTTCATTCACTCCTCCGCCGATACCAATCAGACTCTTAAGTGGCTCGTTACATTTCCTCTGCTTCCCTGAGATGTTTGTAGCTCATAAATATGTATGTGTGTGTGTGGAACTCTGCGTCTGCAGTCTAAGCGTGTAGTCAGATGCTTGATGGATCTGCGCGACAGGAATATCAGACGTTGGGAGGCGAAGGCGAGCGAGATTGAGGGCTGCGATCGGGTCAGACGAGAGGAAGAACGAATGACTTTCCAGATCCAGCCAGTCAAATGTGATGCAGCCCGGATCTTGTAGAACGACGGTGAGATTTGTCTTCCAAATAGCCGGCGTCCGTGAGCAGAATGACTCCACGTATTCCACACCGTCGTGGGCTGGAATGAGCAATTGCGGGTTAATCCTAGCTTTAGCGTGAGGCCGAGCGGGCAGGACGCTGTCGAGAGCGTTTTTCTTGAGGTTGGAGAAGGAATTTATTCAGGGGAATGACTCTTGGTTTTTTGGGGTTTCGAGTCGAACAGAGTAGAATCCTAATGTTCGTGTTGATACTGCGGGATGGTAATCTGATTAGTTCTATTCTGTGCTGCTGATGTGATTCACCGCCGCTCGCCTCAAATCAGCCAATCACAATCTCAACACAAAGGGTAATTGGAGGGAATTTCTGCTCTTCAAGAAGCATTTTCTTACTACTGTCTCTGATTTGATTGCCCTATTCAGTCTTTCAGATTCTCAGACGCACAGAGACGCGCTGGCTTGTTGGCGACTCTGATGGAGGCCGATGACAGAGTTGATTAAAGTTTGGAGCGGTTGGCTCTGCATCTTCAGCTCATTATTATGACTGGCACTTTTTTCAAAGTGACTCAACACTTTGTTTCACACCTGAGAGTGTTACGATGTTCAGGTGCACTTAGCAGGCTGAGAAAAATTTGTGCTAATGTTTTGCTTATGTTCCCATTAAATTATGAAATCGTTATTTCTGATGTCCTCTGAGCATTCAAAATGACCAGGATTCTTTTTTTTTATGTATTAAAAAAAAATTCTTGGTTATACAAACATTAAGGGAACATTCCATTTTAGAATTTTGCTAAAATGATGGGAATGTTACTTTTGAATGTTCTCTGAACAATCTGGAACAAGTAGTAACATTTGTAAAAAATAAAAAATAAAAAAATAAAAATAAAATGTTAGATGAACATCAAAGTAAAATGTTTCAGAAATAGATAACTCCC